TCACTCTGGCTATCTGCCAGACAACCATCAGACAGCCATCGATCTTTGTGCAGATCGTTAAACTGGTCAGGGACAGCACAGTGTTTGGAAAGACCAGCCGTCAGGAACTATGGCCACAGGTCCAGGTGGAAGCCAAGGACAACATGAGCTGCCCCATGACCCACTGTGTCAAAGTCTTGAGTAGAAGTTCAGTCAATCAGTTTATTGGAGTCACAGCAGGAGGCTCCAAGTCAGAGATGACCCTGCCACTGGGTCCTAGATATGCACCAATTCCCTGCAACTGTTAAAGTGCTTTGTATGTTAAAATAAATATAAGATTGAGTATTGGGTGCAGGGTTGGGGGTGGGGGTAGGGGGGATGCCTCCTGTGTCATTGACAATTTAAAACAAAATTGACTGTAAATTGGAGCAGTACATTTGGAAAATGATATCTCTCTTGTTCTTTCTTGCTTTGGTGATAACTGGAGTTCGGCACAAAGAAACCCAACTCCATTTCTTGACAAGTTCACACTTCTTGTGTGCTAGTCAGTGCAGTGGGTTGTGGCCATTAAGGGACTGATGGATGCAGACCTTTGGCCTCTCAAGCCCCTCACCTGGAAGCCAGCAATACAATGTCTAATTGTACCCTGCCTCCATTTGTCCTAGATCTCCTGAAACAGAGGCCTCCCCATAGGGCAAGATCAAAATTGAGCATCTGGTGAAATTATCCTTAAGCCTGTGGGGCTCCCTTCAAGTTCCTCCCTGACGGTGTCTAGGCACTTTGCACACGAACCAGTGTTAGCTCACGAAGCTGGGTTCGTGGTGGTAGAGAGATAGCACAATGGTTATTTAAGAAAACTGGCTGAGCAGACATGAAGACCAGAGTTCAAATTCCAGCACCTATGTAACCAAAAATGCAAGCTACACCTCAAAAGACTAAAGTAGAGATGAATAGAAGTGGGCATCCACTTCCGGCCTCTGCCCTGTTGGTCACAACCCCTTTGGATTCTCTGAAACTCTGTCTCAAAAAAAAACACCAAAAAGCCAGTCAGGGTGGCACATGCCTTTAATCCCAGCACTCTGAAGGCAGAGACAGGGGACTCTGTGAGTTCAAAGCTAGCCTAGCATATATAGGAAAAGCCAGAATACCCAGGGCTACATAGTAAAATCTTGTCTCAAAAAAAAAAAAACACCAGAGTCGAGGAAGGAGTGTCATTCTCTCCTTAGTTCATTTTCCTTGGTTATACTTAACTTGTAAACATATTTTACATATGAATATGAAGCTAATAATTGTATATAATTATAAAGGCTAATGTGCATAAGCACTGTGTATAAGGATTAGGTCATTATACCTTCCCTTAAACAGGGAGGGTATCTATCACTATGTTAGAGAACATTCAAAATCCTCTCTTTTTTTTTTTTTTTTTTTGTTGTTGTTGTTTTTCGAGACAGGGTTTCTCTGTGTAGCCCTGGCTGTCCTGGAACTCACTCTGTAGACCAGGCTAGCCTCAAACTCTCAAACTCAGAAATCCGCCTGCCTCTGCCTCCCAAGTGCTGGGATTAAAAGCGTGCGCCACCACTGCCCAGCCAAAATCCTCTCTTCTTATTTTGAGTCTTTTCATTTGTTGAGACAGGGTCTTACTATGTAGCTCAGACTAGCCTTGAACTCATCATCCTCCTGCTTCAGCCCCCCCCAAGGGCTGAGATCATCGATGTGTGCCACCATGGCTGTCCTCTCCACTGTCTACTTTGAATTAAACAATTAGTTGTTGTCACCCTAGCTCTAGGATCCTCTTGTCCATTTATTTGAAGACAAGGTCTCCCTAGGGTGCCCAGGTTGGCCTTGAGTCATAGCAACCTCCTGAGTCTCCACGGGCTGTTAGCACTCTGCTGCAGAATGTTCCAGGTGGATTGGAGAGATGATTCAGCACTCGCAGCAGAGATGATTCAGCACTCGCGGCTCTTCCAGAGGACCCAGGCCTGATGCCCAGCACATACGTAGCAGCCCACTACCATCTCTGACAATAGTTCCGAGGGTTCTGACAGCCTCTTCTACATTCCATGGGTACCCCAATGCCTTCTTCTGGTCTCTATGGGCACCCGTCATACACACAGTACACAAAAAAATGTTAGACATTGTCTCTCCTATTTAGGATGTGATATCAACCAGTAAACCACCGTATGTCCATCTTCCCCTGCCTCCCTATATCACTCCTATTCTCATGGAAACCACAAGGACTGGAACTACAAAGACAAACGCAATTGACTCCGTTACAGAACAGTAGTCTCACCTACGTCTATAGTGGATACTATTTGATACTATTTGTGTATCCAACTGTCTCTATAACAGATACTATTTGATACTATTCATGCGCCATGTAAAGTTTGGGAACGGACTCCAGACTCACAGTTTGTTCTCTCTGATCTGCCTTTGCTACGGACTCAGCCTCCATGCCATATTTTCCTCATCTGTGAGGTGGAAATATCTAAGACCCTTCTCTCATGGTGTTGCTCTAAGGATTGGATGGAGCCTATGGGTACAGTCGTCTTCAGGGGGCTTGCTGTTATGAAACTGCCGCCATGTTCTCAACATACATGTCCACATTTGAGAGAAAGAAGTTTAGACCTAAACCTATCTTAAGTGACCACCCAAGTCCCAACAGGGGACAAGCTCTGATTTAAGTGAGGCAGGTTCCCCAGGCAGAGCCCTGAGCACTGAATGAGCCTGCAATGACCTTCATCCAGAAGAAATGAACTCAGGCTGAAGCCCAGTGCCAAGGCCAACACCCACATCTCTTCCCCTCACCTTTGCCCACTTGGATAGCCAATCCCAAGGCAACCTGGGGTTGAGATAGCAACCAAAGTAGGCCAAACAAACTCACCTGGGGTTGGGACTGGGTTGTTTATCACTAAGGAAGAACCAATGCCAAAGGCAGCTACCATCATGAACTGGAGCTCCCAGCTTCCTAAACAAACAACCTCTGGTCGTCCTGGATTCAAAGGGCACTTGCAGGGCCGACCTGTGGGGCTGAACTAAGATAGAGTCTTATGTAGCTGACACTGGCCTTGAATTTATTATGTAGCCAAGAACAACTTTGAACTTCTGTTTTGTTTTTTTTCTTTTTGGGGGGAGGGGTAGGTGATAAGGTGGATTGAGATAGGGGTTCTCTGTAAAGCTCTGGCTGTCCTGGAACTCAATCTGTAATACCAGACTGGCCTCCAACTCTCAGAAATCCTCCAGCCTTGGTCTTCCAAGTGTTGAGATTAAAGACATGGGCCACCACAGCCAACCTTGAATTTCTGATCCTCCCAAGTGCTGAGATTATGGTGTGTGCCATAATACCTAGTTAATATATTTGATGTTATGGTATCTATTCAAGAAGATGAGTTTAAAACCCTACCCAGGCATGATGGTGCACACCTGACATCCTAGCTCTCTGGAGGTAGAGATAGGAGGATCAGAAATTCATGGTCAGCCTGGGCTACACGAGATGCTGCTTTTAAAACAAACAACACACACTTATAGACAGAGATAGACTTAAAAACCCAACAAAAGTCATTGGGCATATTTCTGTTTTATCTTGTCACTAAATATTTTATCTGTTATCTTTCTTGGGAAAAAAATCAGTTATTTCTGCATGTATATGCATTCATAAATATTTTATTGCAACTTCAATAATAAATGAACATTGGTTAAAAAAAGAAAATGATTCTCTTACAAATTCATTTGAAGCCTGGTATATAATCCCAGCACCCATTCAGGAAGCTAAGACATGAGATTCTAGAGAATTTCAGGCCAACCTGGGCTACACAGTGGGTTCTAGGCCAGCTCTCAAAAAGGCCAAAACCAATCAATCAATTAATAAAAAAAAGTAACAATAATTTAAGCAGAAACAGGTGAAGCAAGGCCCTGCAAAAGAAATTGATGCGGTGAATCAGATTTTCAATTTCTTTGGAGTCTTTCATCTGTTTGGAGAGCTTGAAGTGGTTCAGAACAAGGAGCTAATCTTATGTACGGGCTGATCTTGGCTCCAAAGTATTTCTTCTCTTAAACAAATCCCCCCCCACACACGAGGCAGTTAATAGCTTATGTTCCTCAAAACCTGTGTTGACCCGTTCCTAGCCAAGAGCTGCTGTTCATCTGGATTCCGTTGTTCCATTGTGTGCTCGTCAGAGAGCTGTCAAAGACAGGAACTGTGTCGTCCATCCGGAAAGAGCCTGGTATACAGGCTGCCCTGGGTCACGTGGCTGTGTTACCAGGTTACCTGGCACAACCATTTTACAAGGTATAGGACATATTTGTCTTCAACAGTCAAGCAAGACACAAGCAGATAGCAAAGGCCCACACGCGGGAGTGTGCCCACCGATAAGGATTTCCATTCATTTAAACAACACTTCTCTGGCCAAATAAAACAATATAACGCCAGGATCTGGCTATAAAGTGCCCCCCCAGAAGCAACAAGGCTATGGTCCACAGTATTCTATTATGTTCTTAGCTGATACTTCAACAGTTCTCTGAGGAAATCATTGTAGAGTCCATCTTACAGGCATCTGACACAGGAAAGGGGAGGGGGGACCCTGAATCTCACACATACTGATGTATCCAAAGCTAGCTTAGCTGTTTGGAGGATGTGAATCTACAGGAGGATACAGCATCAACCCAGGACTCCCGACTCTCTTTACACCACGGACTGACTACCAAGCTCGATTTGTGACTTTGTTTTTTTGTTTTTCCTACCCTCCTCCTAGTTTTTCTGGGAGAGAGAAAAAAAGGTTAAACCTGAGCCAAACATGGAGGAGCCTACCTACTGTTCCAGCTACACAGTAGGCACAGACAAGAGGTTTGAACCCTAATTTGGAGTCTGGGCCACATGGCAGGATACTGGAAGATAAGGGGTTAAATCAAAGTCAGACTCACATTCCAGTGACAGTGGGGGTCAAAGTCCTCCTCCAATACTTTGGTGTCCTTGGCAGCAATGTCTCCTTTGCCAAAACAGGCACATGTTTTTCCCTGAGTCTCTGGTGTGAGGAGTCAGTTATGTCACAGAGGTACAAGGCTGCATATCAAGGAAGGCCTGTGCACCTCAACAGCCGTGAGGAAGCTGGCTCCCAAACCAGGGTGAAGTATCTCCAAGGGAATCTGATTTTTGTTGAGAGGAACAAAAACACACACACACAGGGGGGCTGCGGGGCTCCACACACACACATGGGGGGGGGAGTTGTCGTGTTCTCAAGAAAGAGAGAGACAGAGAAAATTGTTAGTATTCTGCCTAAACTCCACCTCCACAGTTATCACAATGTAAACATTTTTGGAGAGTAGAGGTTTGCCAAAATGGTCTCGACCCACAGACCCTTTGCTACTAATAATCTAATTGCTTTGATTATTAATCAAATAATAATCAATACAAAATATGCTACTAAGGGCTTGAATAGGATATAGTTGGCAATGTCTCCCTAGAATGCAGAAAAGCCCTGGGTTTGATTCCAGTACACATAAACAAGAAGCATCTATAATCCCAGCACTTGGGAGGTAGAAGCAGGAGAACCAGTTCAAGATCACCCTCTGCTACGCATCAGGTATGAAGACTGTCGTGATCTCATGAAACCTGGTTTCAAATGAATAAGTAGGATTGATCTTACGTTTATTTCCCTCCCAGTCTGAAATTTAGTGTTCACTTTACACTTCCAGCTCGTCTAAGCTGCACAAGCCCCATTTCAAGTGCCCGACCCACATGTGGCTAAGAGACTTCCAGCTTCAGGCCACACAGGACTAAGGCAAAGAGGCTCCCAAAGGCCTTTACTTCTTGTGGAGTGGAAGTCAGCAACAGAGACTCTTTAAGGTCACGGGGAACCCTCATTTCCAATTCCCATGTCTAGTGCCATTTGAGGACAGCTATGTCCTTTTACAGCCAGTGGTTCTGCAAATCCAATCAGAGGCCATTGTGTTTGGCCCGGAATTTTTTTTTTTTTCTTTTGAGAATGCGGTCCTCAGCATGTCCCCTTTCAAACATGGGCTATTCTGGTGCTGTCTTCAGTCCTGCTGCGACTAGCCAGCGATGACAGTGATATATTTTATGTGCCTGAGTTCACAGAGCAAATTACATAGCGTGATGGGCTGGCGTGGTGATTAGTGTCTGTGTGTGAAGATTGGAATCGCTGTATTTGCATGTTTCTGAATAATGAGACTCTTAGCTCCATTATACTGCAACAGAGTGGGAATCGACAGCATTATTAACTGGTTCCCAGTGAGCACAGTTTGCTATTCTGCTCTTTCTCTGTTTCTGTGCATATCTCTCTCTCTCTCTCTCTGTCTCTCTCTCTCTGTCTCTCTGACTCTCTGTGTGTGTGTGTGTGTGTGTCTCTCTCTGTCTCTCTGACTCTCTCTCTTTGTCTCTCTCTCTGTCTCTCTGTCTCTCTCTTCTCTCCTTTCCTCCCTCCCTCCATCTCTCTCTTAAAATAAACCAAAAGCCACTTCATTTAGTACACTCCCCCCCATAACCCTTCCACACAGAAGTTTTTCATAGGAAGATATTCCTACAATTTTATCAATACCCCACATCTAATCTAATCTAATCTGATCTAATCTAACTTCTTTGCTTCGTAGAAGAAAAAGCTGCCATTGTGAACAGGAAAGATTTAAGGAAGGCAACAGGCATAGAAAGAAAGCTACAGGGCTGAGGCCCAATGGTAGAGGGCTTGCTTAGCATTCTTGTGTCCCTGACCTGATTCTCTAGCCTCAAAATAAACAAGTTAATTAATTAATTAACTAATTAATTAATTAAAATAAAGAAAAAATGAGGGCAGGTGGGAAATAGATGAGGCAGAGCTCTGACAAGAACCTATTCTTCCTCCTGTTCTCAGTCTCTGGTGCCTGAGTGCCCCTTCAGAACAATGGGATCCCATCTTCTACTTTAATTACATATGGTGCATTTTGGGCACATGCCCATTTTTCTGCTGAAAAGATGAAGACATTGGGGGGAAATTATAATTCCACTCCCCAAACACAAAGGCCTTTTCAGTTGACTATAGAGAGTCCTAACTACGCAGCACCCCGACAAACATCAATTTTTACTGCAATGACGTGATGTACACCACACTAGTTACAGTGATGGTGGGTTATAAGCCAGAGCCGGGAGAGCTGTGATTAAGTGCTCATGTGACTCTTCCCTCAGCAGCACGATGCTTACCCATCAGCCATGTGGTGGTGACAGTTTTGATATCAAGGGCAAGAGCGAAGTAAACAGATATCCACAGAGACTCTTTTCAAAAGTAGATCCAAAAGTGAATACCAGCAAATAGACGGCTGAGTGTGTAGGGGAGCAGAGAGTCACTTTGATTAAATGATAACACGTGAGTACTATAGTGCTGGGCTAAACAACCACAGCAGTGTGCACATTAACTGTCTCTGCACAAAGAAGAGAGATCACCTCGGGTTTGCTATGAACGTGATGATTGATACTAGCTTACCATATATGGGAGTAAACCACATGCATAGACAGCTGTAGGGATGACGACAGTTAGTAAATATGTTGGTAAAATGGCCCAGAGTGGAGCCTTGTTAGTAAATATATAATATATATGTATATATAACATATACACACATATATAATGTTGATAGATAGATAGATAGATAGATAGATAGATAGATAGATAGATAGAT